TTACTACCATACTGTCTGTCTCTGTATTCTCCTATTTTTCTTATAAACTCTATAAATGTGTTTGTTGTAATAAACATAGAAACAGTACTTCTTGTTGTGTCAAAATTTTTAATAATTGTATGACTAAACCTAGCACTAATATCCGCACAAGAACTAGCATTGAACTGGCCAATCGTGATTGTGATACAGAAAGTACTGATTCCAATGTAAGTACTCCAAGACGTAATCTTGAGTTATTGTAATAATATAATCTATAGGTTCTATTTTTATTTTGATAATATGTTTAATTTAATTCTGGGTTCTTTAATTTCATTTTGGGTTGTTACTATTTCTAATTTTTATGATAATCTAACTATATAATATAATTTAAGAAAAATTTGTAAACTCAATTTCTAATCTTAATTTTATCTTACATGGATTATACTCACATTATTTTCTATTTCCGGATGTTTCGTTTTAAAGGGGGGAGGTGTTACATCCCTAATTTTGATGATATTGCATAGGAATGCAATACAATATTGCTGACTTGCAATAATAGCAAAATGACGTAAATTTAACATTGCAGATCAGCAATAAATACACTATAAATACCAATCCTTTTCTTAAATTAGTCAGTTATTATTCTCTAGTGCTGATATAATTTGTGGTCTCTGACTACTCCCCAACCTTGGTTGGTTTTCAGCAAGGAATTCTAGAGCAATAATATACTCCGGGTCTATTCTGCCCTTCGCTGGGGCCAATAAAAACGCGTATAATCCGTGTTAAGTGGTGTTATATAAGTTTGTGTCTATCTTAAGTTGCCAAAAGTTGTGTAGAGTTATAAAATAAATAATTGTGATAGTCAGTGGTGGTTTCTGTTTAAAAGTGCCGGACTGTCCAATCTAACAGAACGCAGTGCACTACAGTCAGTTATGATTTTAAATTCCTGCCCTAAAAGATAAACTCTAATTTTTTTTAGTGAACACACCCGCTTTAATCCACACACTTAAAAAAAAACAAAAGGCTTGGATTAAATGGAAAAAGTACAAAAATGTCTCAGATTATGAAACATATACTCAGTGCAGGGCTAGATTTAAAGTGAAGTGCGACGAATGTTTTGATTAATATATTACCTCTGTGGAGAACAACTTAATCAACAGTGTCAAACAATTTTGGACTTATATTTCGAACCGTAAAGATAAACCCGGCATACCTGCTAAGCTATACTACAGTGACGTGGAATCTACTGACCCAAAAACCATCTGTAATTTATTTTCCAGTTTCTTCTTCTCGGTATATGAACCAGTTACAACTAACTTTAAACATTGGAGACCTCCTCCAGACTCTTGTGACAATGATTTGAATATCTGTAACCCCCGTTTTAGTGAAAAAAAGGTCCTTGAAGCTATTAAATCCTTGGATCCGTCTAAGGGACCTGGACCCGATGGCATACCTCCACACTTCTTAAAAATGACTTCATCGTATATTTATAAGCCTTTGTTTTTAATTTACAATAAATGCATATCAAGGGGGTGTTTCCCGCTGTCTGGAAACGTGCCAACATTACTCCCGTACACAAAGGTGGATCTAAGAGTAACGTTGAAAATTACCGACCGATATCTATTTTGTCCGCTTTGTCAAAGCTCTTTGAAAGACTTGTACACGACGAAATATATCCAGCGTTTCACAATATAATCATACCACAACAACATGGCTTCGTCAAACAACGATCAACTACCACAAATCTTTTAAATTTTACCAGTTTTGACTTGACAACATTGACAATCGAGTTCAAGTGGATGCTGTTTACACTGATTTTCAGAAGGCCTTTGACAAAGTGGATCATTAAATATTATTAAATAAAATTGCATATAACGGAATACGCGGCAACCTGCTCAGATGGTTTTGCTCTTATGTTACGAACCGCTGTCAAAGGGTGGTGATTAACGGTTTCCAATCAAACATCATAAAAGCCACTTCCGGAGTTCCACAAGGCTCAATTTGGGCCTCTACTGTTTATTATTTTTATTAACGACATAAATCAATGTTTTCTTAACACTAAATGCCTCCTGTATGCTGATGACCTTAAAGTTGATAATCCCATCACAAATTACGAGGATTGTGCCCTTTTCCAACAGGACTTGGACCGACTGACAACCAACTGTTATAATAACAAACTTTACTTAAGCTTACCCAAATCTAAGTACTTAAATTACACAAAAAATAATAATGTTATTAGTTTTAAATACACACTTTGTAATATTCCCCTTAGTAAGGTCGCTTCTATAGCAGATCTCGGTGTGACACTCGACTCGAAACTTTGCCTAGATCTTCATATTGACAACATAGTCAACAAAGCATATAAGCTTTACGGGTTCATTATGAGATCTACTCACGACTTCAAAAGACTTGCTCCTACTTGCATCTACATATATAGGTCATTAGTTCGCTTACAATTGGAGTATGCAGTGCCGATCTGGAACCCCTTCTACAACAAATATGTAGATATCATTGAAAATGTCCAACGTAAATACTTACGTGCAATGCACTATAGGTGCCACGGTTTCTATTTGCCGTATAATGAATTGCTAGTTAAATATAAACTATTGACTCTCAACTCGAGACGAAAGTACATTGAGGCTTTAACGCTGTATAAAATCGCAACCAACAAATTTAACTGCACTGAACTAAATAATATGCTATGCTATACAGTCCCCAGAAGGTCTTACAGACGTAAAGTGTGCGCAGGCAAACTATTTTCAGTGAACAAATGTCGTACCAACACTGGTATCCGCTCGCCGATGCGTCGCATGTTAGATACTTACAACAAAATATTTATTAATGTTGATATTTTCGCCAGCTCAATAAGCAAGTTCAAAGGCCTTTTGCTTAAAGACTTAGGCTAAAATAACATAAACGCATTGACAATAGTCCTTGTTCTAAATTTCATATTTACTACTAAGAAACTAATGTATGAGTATTCCAACCTGTACAAATGTGAGCGTGTTTAATACTGTGTTCCATACTTATCTTTGCTAATTTGTAAATAACGTTGTGGGCTACAATATAGCATAAGTGCTATATTGTTTAGATTATTTTGTTAACTATATGTTGTAGCTGATGGTTATTCCTATTCAATAAAAAAAAAAAAAAAACACTCCAGCCAGCGTCTCGAGTTCAAACGCGTGGAAATTTTTCTCTTTGGGCGAGGTCTGACGGCAGTAGTAAGCCACATTTCTAAAGTTCCTTTCGCCGTGAGAACGTTGCATTAATATCCCCCCAATACCAATTTTGCTGGCGTCGGTTTGCAGCTCTATTTCAGCATTAGGGTCATAGATGGTTAATATGGGCCTATCTACCAACCGATTTTTGAGTTCCGTAACGCTTTCTCCTGTTCCCCCATCCATACCCTGGCCACATCCTTTTTAAGCAGTCTATTAAGCGGGTGAGATAGTGTTGCGAAATTTCTAATGAACTTTCTGAAATATCGAACTAACCCCAAAAATTGGCGAACAGAATGCGGATTGGTCGGACAGGGAAAGTCGAGAACACATCGAACTTTCTTATCTCCAGGGCGTACGCCTTCAGCGCTGATTTCATAGCCTAAACAATTAATTTGACTTTGAAGAAATCTGCATTTTGACAAGTTTAGTGTTAGATTTGCCTGCTCTATCAACCTCATCTTTTCAAGCATATCTAAGCACTCATTTACGGTTTTTTCATATATAAGTACGTCATCAATGTACGCGGTTGCTTCTGAAAACCTTGCAGATCCCAAGACTTTGTTCATTAACCGTTGAAAAACAGCAGGTGCGTTTGCAAGCCCAAACGGCATACGATTAAACTCATATTGGCCATCTGGAGTCACAAATGATGTTAAAAACTTTGAATCTTCAGAGAGTGGCACCTGGTAGTACCCGGATGCTAAATCTAAGGTTATGAAGTATGCTTGCCCTGAAAGCCTAGCAATCTCGTCTTCAATAACCGGCATTGGGTACCGCTGTTACAGTAACATAATTCAACAGTCTATAATCTGTTTCCCGTCCTTCTTACGGACCAGTATTATAGGATTCGCATATTCGGAAACAGATTCTCGAACTATCCCTGCACTAATCATCTCCCCTACCATTTCTCTCACGTGTTCACGTTCCTTATGAGACAGCCTGTATGGCCTATACACAACGGGTTGGTTACTGTTTAGTTCTATCCGCATCTCAGCCATATTCGTACATCCCAATTCTTTCAATGTTCCAGCAAAACAATGCCTATACTTAGACAATAAATTCAGGAGTCATTGTTTCTCATACTCCTGAACTGTATTACTTATTATTACCTGATTTGGATCTATATCATGGTGTTCGATTACGGTAGAGTTACTAGATAAATAATTTATGCTATTGATTACGTGTACCTTAGTCCCGCTTTTTTTTTTTTTTCCGTGCGGAAATCCCCTCGGATACCACCTGTCGGTGGCATGTCGGACTCGAACCGACTAAAACCGCACGCCGTCTCGGGTACTAATAGCCGGGAAACCAGGTGTACCCTAGAAAGGCAGTCCCTGGTGCCCCGACATACCTCGGGTCATCTACAGACGAGTAGACGACCCCCCCCCCGTGTGGGAACCCCATGTTCCCTGTGCTCCCTGGAAGCGAACACGCTTCGCAACGCGTTCGCCGCCACCCCGGCCTGCTTCTGCTAGGGTAGTCCCCCTGCCTAATACATTTCCTTCATATAAATGATAGGTACCCGACAACGGAATTACGTGAATATAGACTATCCCTTTCGTAACCTCATATATCCCACCGACTACTATAAGTTCTTGATTCGGCGTTCCGATTACTTTTCCCTCTAAAATAATGTTCCCGTCAGTAACAACATTAGCTCCGGTTTTAATAGCAGCTGTTCCATATACACTCACATCTGCATAGATTGTGATAATAACAGTCAGATTATCTTTAATGTCAAATTGCGGTAATGGTACATCATCAGAAGTACTAAAGAATTTCAATTCCTTAAAATTTTTAAACACTAGTATATGAGCCTGCTCTGTAAGCCATTAATAAAGGCGTTTCCAGAAATCTATCTTCTACAACATGACAAACGACATCTGCACTAACATCGTCAACACACAGATCAACCCTAACTCCACCAATAGAGCTAATAACATTGTTTCCAAAATCCTTAAGGGGTCTAGGAGGATAACTACAAGCAAGTCCGAGAGAAGATGCCAAAGTCTGTTGCATAAGCGAGACCTCACTACTGAGGTCTATAAAAGTTTCCATTACTAGTCCATTTACTTTCACTTCTCTGATAAATTTCGAATTCGATCCCGACGTCATTATACTCATCGTGTTGGAGACATTACTATGTTTGTCATTTGTTTCGATTTTAGAGAAGCAAGTTTCAACTTTGTGACCATACCTATTACATCTTGTACATCGAATTAAAGGCTTAAGGCACTTAGAATATGGATGTCCCTTTTCCTTACAATTAAAACAATACATTTCACCGTGCTGATTATTAAAAGTTCTTACTGGCCTGCTAGTTTTATTGTAAGTAGTTGTCGTGTCTACAAGGGACCTATTTTTAAAATTGTTATCTAAATGTTGCGAGACGTCCCTATTACTCATGAGGAAATTAAGAAGTTGATCTGGCCGCGAACAGCGCAATGTATTAGCGTTGGACCTTATAGTTTTGTCAGTTAGTCCGTGAATAATACAATCCACCGCACGCTTGCCATCGATGTCACATTGGTTCAATAGTTTTTCGTAATAATACATTTCCAGAGGTTCATTGAGTCCAGTCTTCCGTCTAAGCATGGCCTCCAAAGATTGGCCATAATTTTGTTCGAAGGGGAAAGCAATCAACAATTTTCGTTGCCATTTGGCCCAACTAAACAATATCGAATTTAAACTTTCGTACCAAAGTTTGGCCAATCCTTGGAGTTTTTGCATAGCAAAATGTATAACTGTCTTTTCATCCCAGACGTAAACAGTGGCGCATTCGTTAACCTTCTTTATCCATACATCAATCCTTTGAACCTTTGAAGAAGGATCAAAGTCAGGAAGAATATTTTTCGGGTTTATATGACTATTAGAATGTGATAAAGTTGTAACTGGTGACGGCTGAGGCAGCTGTGGTTTAGGTTTTAGAGAATTCAAGGAGTTAACAATATTCGCAACATCCTTTGATGTAAATAGCGGACTAACCGACCTGATATGCCGTCTGGCTGCCGATGCACGTAGCTCGTCTTGCTGCACACGTTGCGAGCGTCGCATCTCTGGGCGACGTTCTTGCTCCATACTCCTGTCGCGGACGTTGTCCACTTTGTCATTCATATTACGCTGTCGCTGCAGCCCACCCTCGAGTTCATGAATTCGTTGGCGCTGTCTCTTCACTTCCTCGACGAGGGCCTGATCTTGCGTTGGAACTCTTTCGGAACTACGCAGACGGCTCCGACTGCGGTAACTATGACTTTCCCGACTCCAGCGTCTTCCAGCACTTCGACAGGACACCGCCTGTCTGTCCGGCGTTTTTAAAAGCCTTTGCGCGGCCTTGTCATCACGTGGCATTATCTGAAACTCTAAAACATATTTAATGTATCCTTTTTTTTTTTTTTTTTTTACGTGTTGAAATCCCCTCGGACCGTCACCCCACCGGGGCTCTCATTCGGCGGGGCGGTGTGTCGGACTCGAACCGACTAAAACCACACGGTGTGCCCTCTTTGCGCTTCCAGTTTAGGAGGGGTCCAGGTAGTTATCGCCTTCTGGACCCCTCCCAGCGCCGGCCCGCTCCTGATGCGGGCTCCGTCTCAGTGGACCCTCTCTTTAGGCGACGTCCGGCACACGCGGACGCCACCCCCTCGCGGCTGGCCAACTAATGTGGGTGGAGGGTTGCGACCGCGGTAAAACAACTATCGCTACCGGCCATGGAGCGAATTACGGCCGGTAGCGAGAGATCTGCTCTGATGACTGCAGTGAGGGCCCGGCGCTGCGTCGCCCATGCGGGGCAAACCGCCAGCGTGTGCTGGGCCGAATCCTCACTGCAGTCGCAGTGGTGGCAGGCGGGACTCGATTCCCTCCTAGCGACCGAGTACAGGTACTTTCCGAAGCAACCGTGCCCGGAAACCACCTGCGTCAGCCGGAAGGAAAGGGTCCCGTGCTGCCGCCCTGCCCACTCGGCGATGACCGGCTGGAGAGCCTCCACGGCGGCGAAGCCAGCTCGTGGAGTCTCCAGCCGGAACGACATTCTGACCATGGTGGCTCGGCGAGCGGCTTCGCGCCACTCGCGCACGTCTTCGGGCGGAGGGCGAAATCCGCTCTCCGCCCGGAAGTCAGCCACTCGCCGATAAACTTCGGCGAGCACTTCCGCCTCCAAATCCCACGGGGGTGTTCCGGCCAAGGCGCAAGCCGCCTCAGTGGACACCGTGCGGTATCCGCGTATGGCTCTGACCGCCAATATCCTCTGGGGGTGCCAGAGGCGCGCCCTATTCGGGGCGGTCAGAGCCGCCACCCACACCGGTGCACCATAAAGCGCCATGGACCGGACAACCCCCGCGTACAGCCGCCTCGTGGGAACACTGGCTCCGCCCAAATTGGGCAAAAGTCGCCCTAGGGCGGAGGCAGTGTCCACCAGCTTCGGACCAAGCTGTCGGAAGTGCTCGTCGAAGAGCCACCTACCGTCTAGGACCAGACCCAGGTACCTCATCTGGGCCCGGACCGGTACGAGGACCGAGCCGACCTCGATTGAGGCGCCGGCGGGTGGACCACGACGGGGCCCATGAAATAATAGGGCCTCCTCTTATCCAGGGCCACCCGCAAACCCAACGCCTCAATGCGCCCGACCACCTGGGAAACTCCCGTGGCGGCCAGGCGCGCCGCCTCCTGGAAGTTAGCCCCCTGGGCCGTGACTAAAGTGTCATCTGCGTAGCAGAGTACACCCAGCCCGGGGGGGAGACGCCCTCGTAGGGCCCAGTCGTATCCAATGTTCCACAGGAGTGGTCCTAGGACAGACCCCTGCGGAACACCGCACGACATGGCCCTGCGTCTCAAGACGCCATCTCGGTCCTCGTACATGACGGTTCGCTCCTCAAGATAGTCTGCCACCAGCCGCCTCAGGTACTCCGGCACTCCGTGGTAGCGGAGCGCTTCCCTGATGCAGCTGAATGACAGACTATTGAAGGCGTTGGCGATGTCCAAAGACACCGCCAACACCACTCCGCCGCAGCTCACAGCCTCCTCGGTCACGGCCCTAAGGCGCATCACGGCATCGATCGTCGAACGCCCCTCTCGGAAACCGAATTGGGCGTCCGACAGATCGGGGCCAACCTCGCAAAGGTGCCGGACGATGCGGGCAGAGAGCACCCTCTCAAAAAGTTTACCCGCCTCGTCCAGCAACACGATAGGCCTATAGGCCGCGACCGAATCAGTAGGCCGTCCCGGATATTTAATGTATCCTTGCCTTAACGTTACATTTTAAAGTAAACCGGTTGAAATCATATTTCAAACTTTTGAAATAATGTAAGTTCGTCACCCGTATGTACATGGCACCGTAGACTCAACGGTTAGAGTCTAAAACTAACTTTGACATCTTTACACATATTTTACCCTTTACCCCAAAATACGCAACAGAATCAAGTCAAGTGTTGACAAGCTTGTACCTCACTATCCACTGCTTTAAACTACTCCATTTACCTTTCATCACACGAGTATGTATAGCATTTTCACGTACAAAAGAAAGACTAACACTAATAATGTGTGTTATCTTCACTTATTACCTTTGGGTTTTTTTTTTTTATCCAAAAATAGTAAATTTCTATTCAGTAAGTTTTAACACTATTGATAGAGAAGTCCGCGTTACTCCTAAATACAGGTAATTTCATGACCTAACTAAAACAACAGCACTTCACCCACCTGATTGGAGATCTACCCACACTTAACCTGCATTCCTTGTTATTTCTAAATATTTTAGCACTATTTTAGTACTCTAGTGGACTCATCCCACTTCTGAACTGTAGTAAAACAACAATAGGACAGAATTATAAATATATATTTCGATATTACCCTCACATTAAATAGTTGACATTGCGTCCTAGACTAAGCAATGGTTCCAATATTACCTTCAATGAGCATTTAATCAAAAGTCACTTGGCTTCCTGCATATTTCAATGGACAAAATAAATAGTCAAACAGAACAAGTAATGTTTTATTCTTTCGTACAAAATTAAATGCGTACTTACCAAGATGTCCGTCTTTGATGCTAGCTTCCCGAAAAGTGGCTTAACAGCCATCACATTTCTCAAGAAAACCGAAGTGTTGCCAGTTAAACGAATCAAATCGATTTTGAAAAACAAATACTAATAATCGTTTGATATAATTTATGAAACCTAACACTATGAAATGGAAATAGCACATTATCTGAATCATTGTTATTACTACACATGAAAGTATCTTAATTTACCGGTTTTAATTCGGGTAACTCATCATGTTGGAAATTTGGTTTTGACGTTACGTAAGCGCTACTGTCAAACTCGATATCTCGAAGAAAAAGTGGTCCCTGCCACCACGCATCACAGGAGATTAAATTATCTAAGCTGACACCAAACGAAACTAAGTCAGCTGGATTATCTTTACCCTTGACATGACGCCATGGTAAACCTTTAGTTATTTCCTGTATTTCGACGACACGATTTTGAACAAAGGTTTGTAATAAACTAGGTGCCATTCGCAACCATCCTAAAACAATTGTCGAGTCCGCCCAAAAGGTTACCGATTTGAATTTACAACGCAGCGATTCATGAACCTTGTGAAATAATTTAACGCCTAATAATGCACCACACAGTTCCAGTCGGGGTATGCTTACAGGTTTAAGTGGTGCCACCTTACCCTTCGAACATAGTAACCTAACCGATGTAGTTCCATTATCACTCACCGCTCGTATATAAACACAACTACCATACGCTGTCTGCGAGGCGTCCGTAAATATATGCATTTCCAAATACATAGGTTTACTTGGTACAGCGTGTCGTTGCATACGCAAAGTATTTAGAAACACTAAGTCATTAACGAACTTACGCCAAATTTTAATAACCTCTTGCGATACTTCATCATCCCATCTTAATTTTAACAACCATAACTTTTGTAAAATAGTTTGAATAATCATTATAAAGGGACTCAATAATCCTAACGGGTCATAAAACGACGTTCAGCCTGTTCCCGACTGGTCCCTAAAACTTGAGTAGGTTCCTTAAAAGGTATGCGTACGATAAACCGTCCCCTAAGAAATGTTTTTCGCAGGCCTTCTCTTCTTCCGTGCGTGAGTCATGAATTTTAGGAATTTCTTGGAGTTCCCAAAACCAACGTAATTGTGCATATATGGTCTGAGTAAAATTACAGTGGATAATGCTGCTATCCTTGCACGCCTCATGGTGGATAGGTCCCGAAATTATCCATTCCAACTTCGTATCTAGTAAGAAAGGCCCATTGCGCAAACGCACTTTGTCTTTTTTGAGTAAATCCCAACATATGTCTGCGCCTATTAATATATCTATGGGTTGCGTTTCATAATATGAAGGATCCGCTAGCTGACATTTATTTGGAATTATAAATTGATCACGATTTAACGGCAAATTTGAAAGTTCAGACGTAATGTTCGGTAAAATAATACACTTGATGCGCTTAGTATAATTATTGTATCGTGACCGAATGGTTACATCGCAATTGTTTGTTGATTGTATCACATAACTACCAACGCCGCGTATTTCGTGAGTGGACTGTACTAATGGATGATGTAGTTTTTTACATAATGAATCCGTAATCAAACAGCGTTGACTACCGTTATCGAGGAGCGCACGTGCTACGTGAAATCCCTTAAACCGGTCCGCTATCTCAACTAACGCCGTAGACAACAAAATAGAATGCGAGAATGTACTGCGCTTAGATGTTTGAATGTTATTGACAACAATCGAGTCTATAGGTACGTTCGTATTCTCAGCGCTAACGACTGCCTAAGGCGAGTGCATCTTTGCACTCAACCCGGTTTCTCGGTAGCTCACATGTGTGATAAGGCCCGTAATACTTTTATAGAAACATGGAGCAGTATGTGTACTTACGGGTGAATATTAATAAAAGTCAATATCCACACAACAACACGATATACTATTTAAAAGGCAGAAGGAGTACAAACAAGAGACACACAATATACACAACGCGACACAGAATAAACTGTAAATACACAACACTTTATACTATTTATATAATACTGATTGAATTTATTTAATTAAACTAAAGATGGAATGTCAACAGTAACACGAGAACGCGCAGGCTGTAAGTGGGCCATGGACCAACTAACTTAACGAACTTACTATACGATCGTTCTGGAGCGACCCACATCACTCAACACTATACTGTAAAAAGTGTGTGAGTGCCGTGAATGTCTTGAGTAGTGTTAAGAAATAATAAATAACTATTTCCAAACCTTAAGTGTTCAGATAAATGTGATAAATGACTGTGAAGCCGGAGGTCGTGGGTTCGATTCCCACTTAGGACGAATACGAGTGTTGTGTGAAATTATT